AGGAGGAGGAGGAGGAGGAGGAGATATGAACATAAGAGAGGAAGGGATGGAAATGGAAATGGAAGTGTGTCTGAGGTTATGAAGGAACCGCGTTAATGTCTTTATTATTAATATTACCAAGAAAAAAGAAAAAAGTCCTCTGTTGAACTGCTGCCACCTGCCGGTATTTATTATTATTATTATTTTATTTTATTATTTTTAAACATTTTCCCATTCCCCTGGTAGCCCCCACTACAACCCCCCACACCCAACTAAAATATACAGGATTTAGTTAATTCTTCACTCCCAATTCTACATAGGTGTGAATGTGAATGGTTGTCTCAATATGTGGCCCCCGGACTGCTTAACTGACCAGATCTGAACTCCATGTCTCTGTCGTGGGCTGCTGGATTTGGCTGCAGCCCCTCTGCTCCCTTAGAAGGATTAAGTGTAACTACATCCACAAGGTGGCAGTAGTGGGACCTAAAGAATGAAGAATACAGTGGCATATGAAGAATAAATGTTGAGCCCCAACAACAGTGTAGCACCACACACTCTGACAACTGCAACTTACTTTCACTTGTAGAAAAGGAACAGCAGGGGGCAGCCTCTTATCGACCAAGCTTTTTCAGCAGCGTCAAGCGCAGGGACCGTGCTCCGCGGAGGAGCCCGCGTTTGTTTGTGTGTGATTCGGTGACAGGAAGTCGTTTAAAAAAAAAAATAAAAAAATTAGCAATTCACTGTGTGTGTAATGAAATGTTTCTTATTTTCAGCATCGCTGCTGCTGCTGCTGCTGCTGCAGTGTGTCTGTCTCTGTCCTCCTTTCTCCTCTTCACACACACACACACACACACACACTGCCTGTCTTACTCCTCCCTCTATTTTCTTCTTTACACTCTAATTCCTTCATCCCTGCTCCACTCTCCCTCCCTCCCTCTCCCTCTCTCTCTCCCTCTCTCTCTCTCCACACACCACTCTTTTGCTCACACTCTCAGACTCCAGCACATGCAGAAAGAGGGAGAGGAGACATGAATGAGGTGCTCACATGTGAAGATCTACTGAACTGTCAGGGCACAGCAGGACGGTGGAAGAGAGAAGAAGAAGAAGAAGAAGAGGAGGAGGAGGAGGAGGAGGAGGAGGAGGAGGAGTAAAGGAATACTGCAGTGACCGGCCAGATTCTATTCCTACCCCCCCACCCTCTCTGTCTCTCTCTCTGTCTCTCTCTCTCTCTCTCTTTTCTCTCTGCTCTGCTGCCTTCACTCCCCACCCCCCTCGCCCCCCCTCCCCCTGTCTTCTTCTTCTTCACCCTCTCCTCTTCTCTCCCCTCTCCACCAATTATACCATGAACCTGCCCGCTGCTTGTTGCTAAGGGGGGAGACCAGCCTGTGGGAGCTGCGGAGAGTGGACCAGGCTTTATTTTGTTTCTAAGGTAATGAAGGCTTCACAGGATTGACAGCTGCTGTCAGGTGTCAGTGATGTTGCATTGCACCGCGGTCTGCTCAGAGTGGGAGTGGGAGTGGGAGTGGGAGTGGGAGATTTCCCAGGGTCTGTTCTGTCTGTCTGTGGAGCGGCCGTCGTGCCCGTCTGTGTGTGAACTCTTTGGCAGTTTATTTAGTTTGTTTCAGTTGAATGGGCGCCTCTGGGGTTGGCTTTGTGTGTGTGTGTGTGTGTGTGTGTGTGTGCAGCCTCTGCGGTTTTGTGCATGGCAACTGGTGAATTGACATTTACAGGGTACATGTGCACCAGAGGTCATCCGGGTGCACTCGGATTCGGCCGTGTCCTCATTTCCTGCGGCCGCACTTTCACCAAAAGCCTGAAGTTTTTTTTTTTTCTTCCTGAACTTTCATTTGCATGAGCAGCTCACACGGGGACGAAACCGTTTCTGGAATTACAGATCACACTGTCATTGGTCGGGGGGTCGGGGCTGGTGGTGGTGGTGGTGGGGGGGGGGGTCACATATCAACATACTGTTGTTTTCTTTAAGCAGATGCTATGAGCTCCATGGCGCCTCTCTCTCTGTCTCTGTCTCTCTGTCTCTCTCTCTCTCTGT